ATAAATTCTTTAGGTTGTGCAGAGCAAGGACTAAGATTGAAGATTTTATATAAGTACTTACATAAGAGAGAACAACTTACACTAATTTTTATTGAAATTAGAAATATAATGATAGTTGTGTATAATTCTGGGACAGCAAAGGTTTATTCATAAGTAGAATGGTGTTTTTGTGGGAGAGGACATTTAGAATAGTAGATGACATTCTCTATCATCAAACTGACTGTACATGATCAGGTACAAAACTACTCCCAGCTCCTGGACCATGCAAAATACTTATGCAGGCCACATTTACTTTGCCATCTCTTGCTCTAAGTACTAAAGTTACCTGAGAAACAAACAAAAAAACTAACACCACAAACCTTTTAATTTCCAAAGATTCACTTTTTAGTAACTACAATCTTTTTTTTTTTTTTTTTTTTGTTACCACAAATCAAACCCAGGGCCTTGCGCTTGCCAGGCAAGTGCTGTACCACTGAGCTACCTCCTTGGCCCACTACCATCATTTTGAATACAAAAATGTTTAAAGTTCTTAATTTTTAAAAAGTCTGATTTTAGCCCGGCTTCCAGCACTCTGGGAGGCAGAGGATCACAAGTTTGCACCCAGCCTGGACAACCTGGTGATTTAGCAGGACCCTGTCTCAAAATGTAAAGAGAAGTACAGGAGATATAGCTCAGTGGGAAAGCCCTGGGTTTAATTCCAATGCCACAAAATGAAATTAATTAAATTAAATTTTTAAAAAATGCCTTATTTTTAACAACTGTTTCCAAAACCATCTTATCCTTCTTTGACTCTCACTAAAGACTATAAACAAGATTACTAAATGCAGATGAGAAATTTAATCTTCTTACAAGGAAACTAAGAAAACAAAATAATCCGGATTAAACAAGTGAGGGTAGTAAATGAAATAATACAAGGAGGACAGTTGGGAGTTTCTCTCACCAAGATCTCAAGAAATGTACTTTGGGAAACAGTGATTTGACATACATAAATACTCACTTTCTAAATTCTGAATACTATTCTTAATCATATTCTCATCTGATTCCAATCATTAATTTAGTTATTTAATTTTGAGACATGATCTCACTATGTGGCCTGGAATGGTCTTGAACCCGAGTTCAATGGATCTTCCTGCTCAGTTCCCCCACGTAGTTGGGACTATAGGCACACAACACTCTGCTAAGCTTCCTAAACAGTAATCTAAAAACATATAACTTCACTCTGCAACCTTTGCAAAAGTTAAGAAAAACTTCCCTATCTTATCTTTTTCAAATCAGCTTCAAATTCCAGCCTCATGAAGTGCCCTAGACTAGAAAACCACTACCTCTATAGTTAAAACATGTGCCTGACGCCTAAGTTACCAAATTAAAGGAAATATTAGTCCCCGGCTCCCAATAATAAATGAAAATAGTGGGGCTGGGGATATAGCTCAGTGGCATGGTGCCTGCCTGGCAAGAGTAAGATCCTGAGTTTGATTCCTGGCCAAAAAAATAAAATAAAATAAAATAAAACAATAAATAAGAGTAAATATTCATGGTGAATTAAAAGAATATTTAAATATTTAAAATATCTTCTCATGAATAATAAAATTAAGTGTAGTTCTCTAAAAGCTTCATTTTACTTAATTTGTAAAATCTAAAAACAAGCCAAATACGTAAGCCTAAAAAGGAATATGTTATATAAATACTAAAATATAAAAGCACCTTTTTGTTTGTTTTATACATTTCTGAAGCACCTGATAAGTGTAGTAATTTTTCAGTATGACACTTCTGGGAGAAGGAGAAAGGTCCACTGGTTTTACTCTAAAACTGTGGATCTCTGATCTTAGCACTTTAAGCTATGCATTTTGAGGTAAGTCTCCTTGCCCTGGTAATTTGAATTAATAAAGCAAGGCTTTAAACTTTAGAAAAATAAAGAAATTAACTAAATATACGTGAGCAACTTTTAGTACAGAAATTCATGTAGGCAAGAACTTCTCATTATCCATGTACTGTACTTTTAAACAGCCCTCAATATATTTTAATCTAAACTTAACAAAGCGTAGAGGGCCTAAGGATGTAGCCTAACGCAGCACATGCTAGCGACCCTGGGTTCAATCCCAATACTACAGGAAAAAAGATAGAGAATAGACAGAAACAAGCAGCAGTATTTTGGGAAAGTTTCCTAGGTTTTTCTGATAACTCCATACTCAATCTGGCACCATATTTTAGATATTTAATACTCATACTTCACATATATGCATGCACACACATCTGATACACATACATATACAGATCAGATTTGATCTGCACAACTGCCAGTGTTGGTAGAAAATTCCCAGTTAATCTTCATTTCCTCTAGTTTCAATGGCAATGTGACATGAACATGCAGCATTTTTTAAAAGGCGCATGTAAGCTGGAAGTCACAGAATTTCAACAGTCCAACAGCATCTTAGATATTAGGCTATCTGAATCTACTGATTCATCAAAGTAGAGAAATGGACTCAAAACCATGCCTGCCATCACAAACCAGACAGTAAGAGCTAGCACTTCAACACTACTACTTAGATTCAACTTCAGAGCCTTCTGACCAGCCAAGCTGCAGCACATCTTCAGGTAGACAAAATTAGGCTTATGCATGAGAACTGTTTAGGAAATGTCCATTTCTCAACTAGTTGGTGTAAGAAACTTATTTTACTTTAGAACCCTAAAGTTTTAAGGAAAGTTAAATATTTATTTTCGTGTTTTCAGAACTTAAATACTTATTCATACAAAATTCCAAACTATTGCCATTTCTATCTTAATTATCTAAAGTGTTAAATAAAGTGATTCAAATTTCTAATGTTAAATTATTTTCTTCTTCTTTACTACCATTGTAGTAAGGACCTTAGTGTACAGTGAAAGCTTAAAACTAGGACTCAAGAGCCTTGGGTTTCTGCCTCAATTTTATAATGTTGTATTCTTAACTAGTTTATTTCCAAAGCTCCACGTATTTCTCATCTCCTGCCTAACTTAGTGCCTCTCTCATCAATACTGCTTTAACTCTTACATCTTAGAAGATATGCATTACATTGCTTATTCTAGAGATGAAGAAACTGAGCTTCAGAGAAATTACATTAATTTTCCAAGAATCTGAACAAAAGTGGCTGAGCCAGAACTTGACCCAGCTCTCCATGGTATCAGCTAGAATCCGTGCATGGTCTGATATAATATATGATCCTAGTCCAGATGGAGAATAAGTACAAGCTGAGTATCCAAAATGTTTACATTTCAGAGTTGAGGGGTTTTCAGATTTTGGAATATTTTCATTGGCTTCAAAACAATTGAACATCCCTAATCTGAAAGTCTTGAAATGCAAAAATACTCCAAATTCCAAAACATTTTGATTTCCCAACATGACACACCCAAAAAGTTTTGAATTCTGGACTATGCACCAAGATAAAAACAATAAACAGAAATGCCTACTTAAAAAATACACATGACACTTTCCCTAGTTCACATATTAAAAATTCTTAGTAAAACATTTAAAACCTACTTCTGCTGTAGATATTATTCTTACTACTGTTATTAACACTGAAGTAAACACTGTACAATTAAAAACGTCAATTTTGCTTTTGAAGATAACACTGTAAATTAAATTGGAAAAAAGGTACCCCTTCTTGCCTAGTTAAAAAATAAAATTATTCTGAAAGTACTATTACATCATATAGGTAAATGATATTTATTAAAAACTGTACACATAAATGCATATGATAGAACAGAAATCAAGATTACTTGGGATCAGTTCTTTGCCTTTCAGCAGATAAGAACACTCAGATATGAATAAAAAGAGGATAAAAGATGTGTAACACTGAATAGCATGTAATGTTTACATTGTACTATCAATCCATTTTCACCACTGCAGCTGGATAAAAATATGATTTCTGCTCTGACAGAAATTGAACTGTTTCTCCAACTTAAGTTCTTCTGTCCTGTCATCTATGAGTAAAAAGTTTACTAAAAACAGTATTAGCAGGCCAGGCATGGCAGCGCACGCGTGTAATCCCAGCGCTCGGGAAGCTGTGGCAGGATGCTCGTTGGGAGTTCGAGACCAGCCTGAGCTACAAAGTGAGCTCAAGGCCAGCCAGAACTGCATAGCGAGACCCTGTCTCAAAAAACCAAAACAAAACAAAACAAATAATAATAATATTAGTAAAATGTTTAACAGACATTGCACAACTTATTCCCTGTGTATGATCATTGATTCCGTACAATTTTAAAAACCAAGAGAAGAATAAAATACGAATGTGGAGCATAATCATTAAGAAATGAAGCCTAAGCAAAACCAGAATTGAAGCTTCCAGCTAGCTTTAAACTGTACCATGCCCCAAAACATGTAATTAGCTCAAACTGAAAGGCAATGTACACATTTTAGTCGTATATCCCAATATGTGCCCTGGGGCCGGGGATGTAGCTCAGCGGCACAAGTGCCTGTCTGGCAAGTGCAAGGTTCTGAGTTCGATTCCCGGTACCAAAAAAAAAAAAAAAATCAACCAATGTCTGCCCTGGTAACATATGACTTCCCTACTTTACCCAAGATTCATCAACACTCCTGGAACTCTGGTCTTTCCCAACCATGGCCAACGTGCTCAGCTCTGTCCTGGGACAATACCCACACAGGTAGTGACACGATCATCCAGTCGAGTCCTTCGCAGCTACACTGCGATAGAACTATTCCTTCCTCCCTTTTTTTCATCTCGATGAACAGCACCCCGAGACCAGGGAATCCCACAAGCCGCCCACTGAATAAACTCCCCACCCGACTCACTTTCCACCGCATTCGTTCCGGTTGCAACCATGTAAAGCCTGAGTGAGAGGAACGCAGCACACAGCAGCAGAAGCCGCGCGGAGAGAGAGGAGCAGCAGCAGGAGCCCCGGGGAGGGAAGGTCGCCGCCCGTCCAGGGAACGCGTCCCCGGCTGTGCCCGGGCGGAGGAGGCAGGTCGCCGCCGCCTTCCCCGGGGAGGGGACCCCGCCCCCGCTCACCTCGATCTCGCGGATGTTGTTGGAGGTGACGAAGATGCCGATGCCGATGGGGATGAAGATGAGGCCGACGATGAAGAACGTGGGCAGCACGGTGCCCGCCGTGAGGATGGGCTGCCAGGCGGGCAGCCGCTGCTGCTTGAAGGCCGTGTTGTCCGGCCTCCGCGTCTTCGCGGCGCCCCCCGGCGCACACGGGGGCCCGCCGTCCACCTCGTCCTTGGCGTTGCAGTTCATCGCCATGGGACCCCGGGGCGCGGCTCTACAAGCTCAGAAGTCCTGCCCAGGGAACCCGCCCCGAGACCCTGATGAGACTCGGGCAGGGGCCGCCGCCACCGGCGAGGCGGAAGGGGCGGGACAGGGGCGACCGGAAGCGGTAGTGCTCTGGAGTCTCCCGAGAGGCGGGAGACCGGAAGAAGCGAGAAGACTGCGGAACTACTGGAGAGAAAGGGAAGGTGCTTAGGCAGGGGACAGAAAAGGTTGACGCACCTACAGGCTGCGATAGCGCATGCGCGATGCGGAAGTCAGGGCGTTGTATGGCACCCTGGTCTTGCTTGCTTCCCGGTTGTCAGGACGAAGTTGGGTGGGGAACAGGAGCGACCCCCGCTGGCCTGGACCGCTCATGTTGGCGACTTCGGTGACTTAAGCTTTGGACAGGTTTTTCTGTACTCTGCCGCCATCTCTGAAGTGAATCAGAGCTTTCAAAGGCCACCTCAAGGTAGTTTGAGCCCTGTGCAGTTAGTGCAAAGGTAAACTTAACTTGACCTGAGTGACGCCTTTTGTTCTCCTTCGAGGAATCAGCCTTGCTTGGTTAGCCCTATTATTTTGCCTCTCATGAAGCAATTGCCTACTTCTGCTTTACTTTACCCTTCTGGGTCTGCCATTCTCGTCTGCACGTTGGTATGGGAAGACCTTCAGTAAACTGTATGCGTGGGAAGGTCTTTAATGCAATTTTTAAAAAACACAGCACTTGTATAAAACCCAACACTACATATCTTAAAACTTCAAGGGAAATACTTATAATAGGTATTGAAAGTGACTAAGGATGTCAAAGTAGTATAGATACGAGAAGTACAGAAGCCCATCTAACATGTATACAGTGGTAACACGTTGACTGGAGAATTTATTTTCTGTTTCGTTGCAGTTTTCTATATTTTCCAAAATTTCTATAATCATATATTTGTAAAATTTAAACAATATTCAGTCTGTATTGTTGCAGTTTTTGAAATCTAGACCAGAGAGTAAATCATCTGAAAACAGACACCCAAACTTTATTTTTTAAAGACTTTGTCTACAGTTATGCCTTTTAGAAGGCAAAGCTACATAAGGAAAACTAGAGAGTGCTGGGCCCTCCTAAGGTACAATTAAATGTTTTTTTTTTTCCCAAAAAAATTATTACCAGTCTCAAGCTTGTGAGTCAATCAAATAATTCGCAGTTTAAGAGGAATGTAATGGTTCATGCCTTCTAATTACAGTACAGACTTTCTTGGGTTTGCTCATAGAAGATATCCACAGCTCACAAATTCTTAGCACCAATAAAAACTTAGCTGCGTATTTTATTTGGCCAGTTTACCTACAACCCTAGGCTGAAGTGAAAAACAGTCTGTCACAGTTAATAGAGAAGGCGGGGAGTCCTTTTATTTTATTAAGCTCTATTTGTTAGTAAAAATGTACATCACAGTGCTGGTCATAATCCAAAAGTGTAAATTTTTTCTCCCCGCTGCTGCCTATATCATATCTTCTAAATATGTAACAGTTCTTTAACTTATTTGCATTCCAGCCTTCTGTGTAAATGGTTATGGTAATCACCTTCCATGTCCATGAATTCTACATTCACAGATTCAACCACCATATGTTCAGAAATATTTAGGAAAGATTTGTGTCTGTGCTGAGCATATACTTTTCCCCCATCACTATTCCCTAAATAATACATTATATTAAACCAACCATATACATAGCATTTACATTGTACTATGCATTAGAAGTACTATAATCTAGAGATGATTAAAAATGTACTTAAGGATATGCATAGGTTATACACAAACAACTAAGCAATTTGTCTTAGTCATTTTCTTGTCACTGGGACAAAATATCTAAAACCCACAATTTGAAAGAGGACAGGTCTATTTTTGTCTCACATTTTTGGTCCATAGTTGCCTGGCTTCAAGGAAAAGGCATGATAGAAGGGACTGGGTGGAGAAAAGCTGCTTACCCAATGGCAACTGGGAAGCAGAGGACAAACAAGCACTGGCGTGGATGATACATCTTTCTAGGGCACCCCCTGATTAACCTGCCTCTTCTGGCCAGCCCCTACCTTTTAATATCACATTTACCTATAATACCTGACAATGCCATCACCTTTCAAAAGCCTCACCAATGATTATATGAGTCTTTGGGAAGGGGGAGGTGTAGATATAAACCATAATATTCCAGCCCTCACCTCAAAAAGGCTCATGCACATCTCTTTATGCAAAATGCATTTAGACCATCTCAGAAGTCACCAAAGTCCTAATAGTTTCAGGAATGCTGAAAAGTCCAAGTCTAAAGTCTCCTCTAGGACTCAAAAGAAACTCTTAAGTGTGAATCCATGTAAAAAACCAAGGAGAGTGTTAAACACTGCCTACATACAATAGCACAAGTTAAACATTCCAAAAGGGAGGGATGGAGGATAGGAACCAATGAAAACAAACAAGACCAAATCCTAGCAGGGTAAACATTAAATCCCATAGCACTGTGTCCAGCCCCAATTTGTGGCCACATTTGAGCTCGAAATAGTTTGGGTGATCTTTTTTTTATGGCATCCCTAATGCTTTCTCTGTTGGGCTGACTCCACTCACCACCTGCAGCCTTCTTCTGATGTTCCACATTTCCTGGTCTCTCCAACTTCCTGGAGTCTCAGCTATACTTTTGGTTTCACTCTCACAGCTGTACTGTCCTCCCAGGGACACACTACTTGGCTTCCCAGGCCTTCTGAAATCTGGATAGCTATCTCCCTGACCCAACAATTCTTACATTCTGCATCCCTATAAAATCAGCACCATATGGATGATTTGCCAACAGCTGGAGCACTAGCCAGGCCGTCTTGAATCCTGGTTGCCTTCAGTCCCTAAGTGCTTGGATGGTGAAGCACTGTGAACAGAATTTGGGGAACAAATTCTCTAGGTAGCCATTTTTGGGCATGGTGCTCTGAGGCTCTCTTGTCAAAGCAAGGCCTCAGTTTTCAATTTTAAGCCGGCAAAGGTGGGGTCTTCCTAGTTCAGCCCCCAAGCTGTTTTTCTTATTTTGTCTGATCAAAGTACTTGACTTCTTTTAGGTGCTAATCTTTTTGGCAGCCAAGCTCTGCCCTAGTCCAACTTTACAGGTGCTTCCTTTCTGAAGAAAATTAAACCTTTTCAGATGGACTTTTCACTTTAGTTTAAACATGGCTAAAAGCTTCAGGCAGCACCCATGCCACAGCCTGAATATTGAGCTGCTTTGAAATCTCTTCTGCCAGGCTAATTAGTCTTCTGTCCTCAATTTTGGTCTCTTTTAAAGTCAGGACATGAGCAAAATGTAGTTTACCTGCTGCAGCATGAAACATATGGCCTGGAGTCACACTGTCAATGGAGTCCTTTTCATCTGAATTTTTATTAACATTCTGATCTTTTGATTTCTGAACAGAACCTCCCTTCAAGTTTGGCTTACAGCATTCCTAAGGCTGCTTCTCCAGCTGGCATTTCCAAATCTTTTCAAACTTCTTTCACAAACCAGTTTCAAAGGCTTCTGAACCTCACAATCAGATAATAATCAGCAATGACACCACTCCTGGTACCAAAACCTGTCTTAGTCCCTTTCTTATCTCAAGGGACACACACAACTTAAAGGAAAAGAAGTTTATTTTAGCTCATGCTTTTAGTCCATAGTTGACCAGCTTCAAGGAAGGAAATCATAGAGGAAGGGCATGACAGAGGAAAAGCTGCTCACATTATGGCAGCCCAGAAGCCAAGAGTGAAGGAGAGATGTGGGGAGGGAGACATACCCTTCCTAGTCATGCCCTCAGTGACCCTCATCTTTTGATCAGGCTCTATCTCCCAACAGCACATGGTGCCCCATGATTCCATCATCTTTCAAAAGCTCCATTTATGAGCACATGAGGCTTTGAGGGCATAGCTACGTGTAAACTATAGCACAAGTTTGTATAAGGGACTGGAGCATCTGAGATTTGGATAGCAATTGGAGAGTGCCTTAGGTATGAGGGATAGCAGGATTTTGACTTCAGTTTGTTGTTAGTGATTTGAGTGATTGTGATGTATTTACTTTCTTTTCCTTTAGTTTTATTGTGTGGTTTTTGTTTTGTTTGTTTTGTTGTTCATAGTAAGGCCAGGAGATAGAAGGGAGAGAGGCAGATAGACCAAGGGCCTGAATAAATTTAGTAACTAACTGAGTAAATTAAGTAAGTAAACTAAAGGCCAGTACCTAAAAGAGCTAGAGATATCCCTTGGGAAATTAGAATGCAAAGGGCAAAGAACAAGTCCTTAAGTAAACTAGAAGCTTTACAGGGCTGGAATGCAAAAAACAAAGAAACAAAAGAGCCTTCTTTCCTGATATCAAAAACCTGACATCAACAAACAGTGACAATTGTGTCCCTGAGGTCTGTCATGTTCCCCTACACCAAAGACTATATAAAAGTCCCTGGATATAAATGTCTGAGTTATCTCCCTGTCAAAATCCCCTTCTGATAGTGGGTATTTTTTGGTCCTTTCTAACAAACCACACACCTAAGTGTACCCCACTACCTGCTGTTTTGTCACATCTTGCACAGCCTTAGAACAAGGGCCCACAGGGAGCTGGTTACAACATAAAAGAATAATTACCTATTTGTCTCTTTTTTGTTAGAAAATACATTTGACTGAAACAGAGACTTGTACAACAGAAATCTTAGATTTTTGTCTAAATACATTTTCATATCAGGTCTCAGTGGGTGAAATTACTTTGCCAGATCACATGAAATTCTCCATTTCCTTTCTACAGTATGCTCCTTTACCCAACTAGCACCTTTATTTCACCTCCACATCATTATCTCAGGGACTCAGAATTTTATGAGTTCCTTGGTCACATAATGTTTTATGATAGCCAGTAATAGGTAGTTTTTCATTTATCTGCTGAAGTAGGAATTTTTAAAAGGAAAAGAAAGTTGTTTTCTATTTACAGACAATAAGAAAATAGTTGTTCTTGCAATGAGTTGTCAATACATTCTTTTTTTCCTCCCAGTACTGGAGATTAAACCCAGGAATGGCTGATCTCCCCTTTTTTATTTTACTATGAGACAGAGTCTAGCTAAATAGTCCAGGCTGAACTTGAATTTGCTATCCTTCTGCCTCAACCTTTTGAGTAGCTG